ATATTTTACAGAAAGCTCACTGACTGGGGCTGAGCAATGGAGTCTGGGGAAATGTAACTCTCTCCATGGTGTGAGTCCTCTTAGTTCAGTGCCAGCTGCCTCAGCGAACCACACACCCACCTACGACCAATGCACCTTTTTCCTGCTGCAAGAGGCAAGTGCCTCACACCCTGTCAGTACCACCTGCATCCCCATGTAAGAAAACAGTTGTCAAAATTAGCTGGGAAGGGAGTCACTAGAACCTGCTGAGTTTGGCAGCTGGAAAGGGATTTAGACCCACAGATCATTCTCTCAGGGAGAGATGTGAACGGGATGCTCGGGACTATGAGGCGTGCAAAGCTTTATTTCCACAGACGGACGCCAGCCAGTGGGATACTACCCGCGGACAGGGTCTGGCGGACTGCGCGGGGAACTCGCTGTCACCGGAGGCACAAGCGCTGCGCGGAGGAGAGACCGAGGCAGGCGGGCACACAGCTCTCAGGGCTCCTGCCAGGGCTGCTGCCGGCCTGACCCCCGCACGGCCCCGCACCAGCACCTCCAGCCTGACCCGCGACCAAACCTGCGAGGCCCCGGCACCGACCAGCCCCGGGCGGTGTGTGGGAACCACCATCCCTCCGCCCCCGGGGCCCGACCCCGCTCCCTCCGGGGCTGACGGACGCGGGCGGCGTCGGAGCTCACCTCCGCGGCAGTACGGTGGGTTGTGGCCGTGCCCCCCGGCTCCGCCCGTTCTCTCTCGCCTTCGAAGCCGCCGCCGCCGCCGCCGGGCGCGGCCCGCCCCGCGCCCGCGGAAGCGCCCCGCCTGCCACCGCCGCCCGCCGGCGGCAGCAGCCCCACAGCTCCGACACCACGGCGCATCACTGGCGGGCCAGCGCTCGGGGGGGGAGGGGGGGGGGCGGGCGCCGCCGCCCCGGTGCGGCGCCCGCTCCGCTTTCGCTTCCCGCCCGGCCCCGCCGCCCCGGCGTCACCGACCGCCGCGCGCGCCCCGGGAAAAGCGATCCCACCCGCCTTACAACGCCGCGCACGACCGCGCCGCGGCTCCGCTCAAACTACAGCCTCCCAGCGTGCCCTGCGGCGCGACAACGCTCGCTACCTTACCGGATCCCTCCGCGGGGCGCATGGGAGTTGGAGTCACGAGGAGGGGCGCGCCGCCTCCGGCCGCGGCGGACAGCGGCGGGATGCCGCGCCCCCGGGCCCGCCCGCCGGGGCCTGTCGGCGCCCGCAGGTTTCCCCTTTGGCACTGCACAGCCCCGGGTTCCCTGTTCATTGACAGCGAACGGTCGGCACTCGACCCAGCTGACATCGGGACACTGGTGCATTTTCGAACCTGTGTGCCATCGGAGATGCCTCATGAATACGCAGAGGCAGCAGCTCGGTGCGAAGCAATCCCAAAGGACGCATTATGCTCCACCCGGGGGGCGGCAGAAACAGCAAAAGACTCTCCTGCTGTGCGCCGCACCCCCTCACCGAGTGTTTCTCCAGTCTCCAGTTCCACCGCTACCGCGCCTCCTCTTCCTCTGCCGCATCCGCTGAGGCGGGCGGCGCTGGGTCAGTGGTTTTGTACACCTGCCACACCCTCTGTGAACTGCGTCAACAGCATGCCGCGCTAGAGAATGGCGCCCGCCTCACCCTCGCCGGTGCTGGGAGGCGGCACCCAAGGGGCAGCGGGCCGCCATGTTTCCAAACACGGCGCTCCTGCGTGCTCCCCGGGCCCCGCCTCCTGAGGCGCGCGGAAAGGCCGTTCCTCCGCAAGGCTGTGCCGGGGAGCGGGGCCGGAGGCCCAGCGCAGCGGCTGCCTGCGGGTCCCCCGGTGCAGAATGCCGCCCGCTCCCGGTACCGCCTCAGGCGGGGGCGGGACCGCGACACATCCGCGGGGCAGGGCCAGCCCGCTCGTCACGCCATAACGGGGCGGGGCTCCGCCGGGGCCCAGCCTCCTGCGCGCCCGCCGCGCGCGCGCACCCGCTCCTTTCCACCATCCGCTCCGCCTCCCTACCGCCGCCGCCGCCGCAGGTCTGCAGGTCGCGCGGGGCGGGCCCGCGCGCCGCTCCCAGTTGACCACCGCGGCGGCCGCGGCAATTTAAAGCCGGTCCGGCCGTTGGCTGGGGCGTGGTCGCGTTCCGCTTCCTTGTCGCTGCCAGTCCTGAGAATCGCGGCATGAGGCCCGGGGAGGGTCGGTGCCGGGCACCCCCTCGGTGTCCGTCGCGTTCCGGCGCGCCCGTGCGCCGGGGTAGCGGCTGCCGCTTCGTCTGCGAGCTCCTCAAGCACGTGCTGCACCAGCGGAACCAGCTCCCGCTGCCCTACGAGCAGCTCACCTACTTCTGCCGGCGGGCGGCACAGGTGAGGCGGCCCTCGGGGTGGGAGGTCGGCGGGGCGGCCGTGTTTTGCCCACAATTCTACCTGTGAGCTCCTGTTCACGTCCTGTAATGTGTCGGTGCATCTAAAGGAAAGCGCTCGTTGTAGCTGCATCCCTAAATATTACGTCTTCCCCTAAAAAAAACAACCAAAAAGGCAAGGGCAACATTAAGGTCAGGCTGCTGAAGGTCTTGGCATGTTTGTCTTTATCGCTTGTTACGCTCCTCTGTGCTGAAGGCATGTCGCTGCTTTGGCTGATCTTTGAAAGATGGGGCTTCTATTTCTTGTGGGAATTTGTCTCTACTGTGATTTGGATTTAAACTGAGTGTTTGTCAAATAGGATGTGCTTTTGTGTTCCTCTTTTGTCTCTGATTCTCTCTGTGAGTACCTATAGCTCTCAAAAGGAACACAACCCCCTTGTTCCCTGTGGGATGGGCCATGCTTTCTGCAGAGCATATTGGGACTAGTACATCCTTATAACTAAATGTACTAACCTGTTTGTTTGTTTTCCAGGATGGAGATGGGATTGCGAAGCCACCCTCCACGGGCCTGGGAAGCAGCAAGTGCCAGCAGGTGCTAATGGAGCTGGAGGGATTGTTCCAGCATCTGGAAGTCATGTTTAGTTTAACACTGGTTCCTCGAGTTCTTTTCCTACTTGGAGGAAATGTCATGAACCCCAAGGAGCTCTATGAGCTGAACTTGGAAGGGATCTGCGAGGGCAGTGCTGAAGAGAGCCTCCAGACTGCACCCTGTGTTCGCCAGCTCTTTCATAGCCTTTTTGTTGCAGACATCTTCAGTGAACTGAAGGCTCTCCCTGTCACAGGCACGCTCATCCTAGTCCAGGGCCACCGGGACTGTGGTGTTGAATGGTTCCGGCCCAAACTGAACTACAAAGTGCCAACGCGAGGGAGGAAGCTGACTGTTAGATTGTCCTGTGACGGGGACCCCCACCTGAGTGCCTCGCCTCCACAGCACACAGCACCTGAGTGGGAGGACTACATCTGGTTCCAAGCACCAGTGACCCTCAAAGGCTTTAGTGAATGACTGGGCTCTGTAGATGTCTAATTGGAATATTAATTACCCTTTGTTAAGTGTTAATTTTATCCGATGTAACCATGTATCTTTGTCTGAATTTGTTTTCTCCAGAGCGTTTACTGTCTTTGTGTAGCTTGGCTGCACTCATCTCTCATCACTTCCTGACTTCTTGTTGAAGGCAAATCCCCTTTAAGGCAAAGGTGCAGTGATTCCTTAGGGACTTGAGCTGTGGCAGAGCAGATGAATTAGTGCGTTGGGATGCACCCTGCTGTGTGCTTAGAAGCAGTTGCAGCTCTTGGTAACCCATTAGCTGCTGCAGTGCCCACCCCACTTGAGTAATCAAGTGATTGTCCATCTATTTAATAAAATTAGACCTCCACAGAACTCGATTTCAGTTCCTTAATGTTCCAAAGAGTGAGATTTCTCAGCAGTTGCGAGGTCTTGTACCTAGTGCTATCCTCTACTGGAAACTGAAAGTGCTTGACCAGTTCTGTGGATGCAGGGTAGCAATAAGCAGTATTTTTTTTTTTTAACAAATCCTTAGTCCAACAGCCCTGACAATCAGTTAGATATACAGATACAATTAAAAGTAAGCAGTTTTTGCTAACCCTCTTCAGAAAAGGAGTTCTGCCTCAATATTGTAACTTACTCTCACTAAACAACAAAGTAAGCAAGTTTCTTGCTTGCTTTTATCTCTTACAAGTCTTGGACCTAAACTTTCCTGGAATGTGTAGAAGTCAGGGGATTGTGATGAAGTTCAGCACTATCTTTATCTGCCAAATTCCTGTTCTGAGTAATATTTTATCACTTGGAAGCAGATTTGAGCCTGTTCTTCTGAGCTGTTGTCTAGTGCAGAACAGGACAGGGAGAGAAATCCTTAGAGTGTGGTGTGTTATAAGTAGACACATGCCTAGCTGACTGAAGAGAACTCCAACAGCTATCTGTGATGTAATGAGCTTTTAGTAGTTTCAGATAACTGTCCCATTTGAAGAGAAACTTGAGCCTACTGGTAGTGAAGGTGCTTGCAGTTAGTAGCCAAAATTGCACAATGAGGTGGTAAAAATCCTTTGAAAAGAGTGTAAAGGTTTGACGTAACCCTCTGCACTTGGTGCATGTTTTAACTTTGACCTTTTGGAATGGATTGAGATTATAGAACTGGGAGGAACTTGATTTGATATTTTTGAACTTGGAGATCACTAGGAGTGCTGTCTCTGCCATATTATCCATTAACAACTGTTTACAATATGCAGTAGCTGCTAAAACTTGTTCTAGGGGAGAAACTGCTAGAATGAAGATAGCTGCCTTTTGTGCAGCTGCCCACTTGAATATGTGATCACAGATTTTTGAATGAAATATAACTTGAACGTAGGAGTGTTTGTGCTCAAGAGATCAAAACCCTTTACACTTTCACCAAAGCTGCTTGTAATACATATTTAAGAATGCTAGTGCCCAAGTATTTAAAGCTTTTGAACACAAGCCTTAGCCAGTTTCTTTCACCTCTCTGTCCCAGATGAATGCAATGTTACTGCAATAAACTGTTTACATACTCTGTTATACTTGAACTATGAATTCAGCAATGATATGGTGCTGGGAATGAAAAAACACAAGATGCTTTGGAGTTTTTTAATTTTTTGTTCTCCTTATAAAAATCTTTACAGCTTGATTAACAAGTTTAGTACTGTAATTATTATCAAAATAAAATGCTGGTTTCTATATGTGATTACGTCGGATTTGTTTAACCCCTCAAAGCAAAGGTTCTGCTGGTGCCAGAACAACTTGCTTCCATTCTATGCATGTATTTAAACTGCAGGTTTACATCTGTTCCACTTTTCTGACAAACTGCATGATGTCTTGTGCCAGAAGCTTTGGTTCCTCAAAGGCAGCAAAATGCCCTCCACGTGGCATGTAAGAGTAAGTGACGATGTTCTTGTAGACATCCTTTGCCCAGGTACGTGGTGTATGAACTATCTCCTGAGGAAAAGCCGCAATCCCTGTGGGGACATGTATACTAAACCTAGAAGACATAAGTTAATTGCATTTTTGAAACAAGTCCCAGGGAAAGTCTATAAAAACTTTCTGACTGGTAACTACCACAGTTTCACCACAGCAACACACTTTGTGGTCTGCACTCCGCTGAAGGGCTTCACTTCTGTTTGGATATCCTTGAGTTTAAGAAGGTTATACCCAAAGATGTATAAAGTAGAGCCAACTTAGCACACAGTTTGATCTTGAAATGTTTCAGAACTTTGAGCTTAGGTTGTTCTGTAATTTTGTGCTATGTGACGAGATGCTGCACCTCGTCAGTCAGAAATGAACCAGCTCACGTTTGATTTAAACTTGTACCAAATGTGTAACAAATGACTCTGGAGAGGGAAGGTAGACAGGTTCAGTCACAAAGAAAAACACTCTCCCGTTTGTTTGTATCATCTGTTGCTTGGAGAAATCCACTCAGCAATGTTTTTCTAGTCAGCCTCTCTTAAAGTCATCTTAACATACCAGCTGTCAAGAGGTGCTTGGTTTCAAGCACTGTTCTCCAAAATCCTTCCCCAAGTTTGTGCTTAACCGTTATAGTTCTTAGTTTATCCTCCAGCAAGCCATATCCTTCCTAATTCACTTTGAACTTCTCTCTTGGATATGCCCATGATTTTCTGTTTTGTTTTTACTGAACTGAGCTAGAGCTTACATCTGTTTGGTGAATAACTATGTAGACCTGCATTTTGAACACAAGGCTGCATTTGATGCTTTGACAAGAATGTATTGTCTTGGTTGCAAGCCACCTTGTGCGAGTTATAGGTTCAAAAGAAAAGTGACTCTTAACTATATTTATCGAAAGAAAGAACTTCGATTTTTGTTTTTGTTTTTTTTTCCTGAGTTAGATGTGCTGTTTTAGGTGACCTAAATGTTTCCATCTCATTTGCAAATCTGTCTTGCATCTACCATTTCATTACCTGTTATAAGCATTTAGGTTAGGGTCCTTGGAAATATTCTCCTTGTAGTATCGCATTGAGGACACAATGGAGGATGTCACCCAATAAATCATCACATTGGTCAAAAGCTCATCAAGAGAGTATTTGCTGTTGAGAGAGAAGGATGAAGAAATTTAACTGGAAGCTATCTCTCAATGCACTGTATTGAACTCATGTCCTGAAGTTGTTCCTCTTGTTCTCCACTCATTTTCAAGCAGCGAATTAATCGGCACCCATGTGCCCAGAGCAAAACCACCTTGTTCTGAAGCAATGGTTTGCAGACAGTCTGCTGTAAGTTTAAGCTACTACTTGTCATTTGTAGTCTTTCATCCTTAAATTTCAGATTTGACTGGCCAATCTTTTACCTGAATCCTCATATTGGTTATCATCACTCATTCTTTTAATGAGACTTTGCATGGAATAACATCTGTTTTCTTACCTTTCTAAGCCTCCATTATCTTTATGCAGAAATGATTTATCCGTCCAGGTGGAGAATTTCTCCAAAATATATGCAGCAAGCCCCACTGGGGAGTCATTCAGTCCACAACCTAATTCAAGAGAACAGAAGGGCTATTGCAGTTGCCTGGTGTTGTGATACTTCAGCGGGAGTTAAACTGGACTTTCGTAAGTATTCAGTTTTCTATGAGAATTCAGTAGAGAGTCTGTATTTTACCACACCTGATGGTACTTTATTCATGACAAATTCCCCCCAAAGGAATTCCGTCTGTAACCAATGGCACTACAAACTCAAGTAATTCCTATACAAAAGAAGCTAGGAACTAAGAAAGTCCTGTTGGCTTCTTAATAATGTGTGGCAGAAGCAAATTCAGATGTAAAGGGATTACACTCTGAAAAGAAATTTCAGGTAAAATATTTGGGAGCACTATCCTGTTTTGAAAGGGCAGCCAGGACTGTTAGTGCTGTTCATCACTTTTTATCTAATTTAAACAGTGGAATGTTGTGTATCTGTTATCTGTTCCTCCTTTTGGGAACATTAGCAAACATTATAAATATAGAAATACAGTATGAAGAATCCTAGACTATGAGCAGCGTCCATAGAAGCACTGTATAATCACTTCAGTCTTTCTCCCCTTTATGTATTCTTCTGATTCTAAAATATAATTATGAAATTGGGTTAACAGGGATGCAACAGATTCAGAGTATCATGGATTTCGTGTTTTCTTTTTTTGTTCTCTTTAACAGTTTATAAGATTCTCTTAAACTCTGAGCAGGCTGATGTTTCTTATGGATTCTCTCATATGGCAGAAGCCAAACTTGACCCCATTGTGATTTTCTTCCTCTATTTAAATTGCTTTGGACTTTGTTAACATCAGTTTTTATTGGCTAGTTTTGTCAATCAGTCACTTAAATGTTTTTTTTGCAACTCTACAGTTATCTTTAGTTTAAACTAAACTTTGGATAGCTGTCAATTCTTCACCTAATCATTAACTTTTATTTGAAGAGAAATCAGGATCATACTGAAATTTATAGGTGCCAGCATTGTGATTTTTGTGATACTCTCCCTCCCCTGGAACTTGCTTATTTATTCTTATGCTTGAATTCTCATGTTGACTAGTTTTAATCCTTTTCTTAAGGCAGTTTAATTTCTTAAGAACACTGGAGGCATCTCAGCAAAGTATTTTCTGGAAATTATATAAGTTCTATTCCTGGACCCACACTCTTTGATTCTACCAGAGCTCTGATTTTTGAAGTATGATTTCCCTATGATATTATCACCTGTAAATCAGTTCTCCTCTTTAAAATAGCTCTGCTAGTTTTCTGATCAGAGACTAGACATACTAGTCTTCATTTTTCTGAGGTTATCTTCACTGTTTGGCCCTTATAAAAACCCCAAACAACCAGAAATGCCACCACCACAACCCCCTTCCAAACTGGTATCTTGTTTTTCTCCTTTTTTTCTTTGGTATTGCGATTACTTCAAGCAACAGACTAGACATTAGTTGACATTTCAGTTTAAACTTTTTCTTCTTCAGTGAATTGCCAGTATGGGGTGCTATTTGTTCTACGGTCTCCACAGCTGACAGCTGTTTGTCTTTCCTGACAAGGGGAAAGACATTGCTTTAATTTAAATATTGCTTTATTTCAATAAAGCAACACCCCAAAATCCTCTCCAGTGGGGACTGATGCAAATAATTTAACTTTTATGAAATGGCCCTATCTTTCTTCATACTCCTTATCTACTGGATCCAATATGTCAGGCTTCTGGTTTTTCACGTGTTAGGGCTGTGTCTACCTTTCTGCAAGTTTCACATTGTACTTACTTGCCTTGGGTATTTTTCTTGTTTTCAACCACATTTATTTCTAGAAGCTTCAATTTCAGGACTCTGTGCTTTACTTTAAGAGACTTTTTGGAAAGGGGTTCTTTGCCTGAGAGAAGTGGCATGCTATTTAAAAGGCCTTGAATGGTGATATTCGAAATCTCCATCTTTTGTTGAGCTGTTCCTTTTAATTTTGTTTTACACAGTTCTTGTCCCCATGAACTCGCTGCCCACATGGGTCTTGCGCTCAGTCACCAAAACTTATTGCTTCTCAAACTTGGTTGGCTTTTGTTTACTACGAGATTTTATATACCATAAGCATTTACTATACAATCTTCACGGTGATAGAGAGAAGGTACATTACCTGCAGTGTCTGGTTTGGTGGCTTGGATATGTAAGTATCCAGACTCTCGCAGAAGGTCATAGACGTTCTTCTGCATGAAGGGGTAGACACGTCGAGCATCTTCCCTACTGAGGCCTACAAGCCATGGTACATAAGCTCCAAGCATTATGGAAATCAACCTTCCCAAACTTTGTTTGCCAAGGAAGACAATATTCAGATGAAGCCCTCTCACAGATCTAAAATTAGGTTAATGAATAGAAGGTTAAATCAAGTGGTTTTCTGTCTTCAGATTTTCTAGAAAACATGCCTGACTGGAGCTGTGTTAAAAGCATTTTACTGAGACAAATACACAAAGCCCTTCAGGTTTATCATGATTCAAAAAATGGGAATTAGAAATGGTCCCATGTCCATCCAGCTGTGCCACTGCTACGATGTTAGCTTCAGCTACTCAGTTTCTGGATGTGGCATATCCATGCTGGTAGCATATCCATGCTGTTGATCTTGTGTTCCATGCTGTAGGGGACAGGCTGTGCTGGGTATTTTCTAAAAAGCACAAGTAGACCACATGTGGCCACTGTGTTCTGGGTGTTGCGCAGCACAACTACAATTGGGAAGAGAGAGCTCTTCAGCCTGTAATCTAACTGCTTTAGGAGCTTTCCCACTTTATCTAGTCTCTGACCCAAGTGTGGCTGTGGTGCCTGGAGAGCATTAAATGCCTTTTCAGCACTAAGCCATGATGCTATCTTCTGAAGAAGGTATTGTGCTTCTTTTCCAACCAGTCTCAAGCCCGCATTTTACATAGGAAAGTCCTATACTTTGTGTGTTTAGCAGGTGAAAGGCTGAATTCCTCCCTTCCTTTTCTCTGTGCTGATTTTAAATTTATTTCCTTCCTCATTTAGAATGATGATCTGTCTCCTTGAGATCTCAAATCAAAATGCAACAGAGTTTACTTCCATGTCTAGTGAAAGAGAGCCAAACAGCAATGAAATTTAGAAAGCACAAGAACTGTGCCAATATCAATGCAAAACATATGAATACAATTGAATATGCAAGGTGGGTTTGTTCCTGAAGGAAACAGCAGAAGGGGATGAGATGGAGGGCAAATGGAAGGCAGGACCACAGAGCCAGAAGGTAGGGTAAGAACTGGAGCCAGCTTTTCTGCACTGGTTTCCTTTGCTACTTACTGTGGCAGCATCTGGGCCATGTTTGTAGTAATACGAGATCCCCAGTCTCCTCCCTGAATGTAATATTCCTTGAAGCCCAATCTCTTCATCAGCTTATGAAATATCCGAGCCGTAGCTATGGAGTCAAAGCCTGTAGGTAAAGAGAAACACATGACATCTGTTTGTCCTAGTGTTCATCCCCTGGCCAAAGATTGTGGCCTGACAGAGGCATGTGAGTATGGGGCTGTGGGAAGGCACAGTGTGCCATGCTGGTCTGCCTTGCTCCTTGGAAATAAGATGAACACAGGATGATAGAAAGTCAGTGGGAAGTGGAGAAAGTGGAAAGCAGACCTGGCTTCCAGCTACCATTGTGCTCCAAATCTCCACAGCCAGCCCCAGAGCCTCAGCCACATGAGCATTAGTGAAGAGCCAGGCATCTGCATTCACAGACTTCAGTGCCCAGAGGGGCTGGGGACAGCTGAGGTGTTACTCCAAAACTGTGATTCTTACAGAGCCTTTTTATCACTTACCTTGCTGGTGAGGGGCCTCTGAGAAGCCATAGCCTGGGATGGATGGGCAGATAACCTCAAATACCAGGTCACCCTCATTCAGGCCATGCTTGGCTGGCTCCGTGAGCAGAGGGATGATCTTGTAGAACTCATAGAAGGAGCCAGGCCAGCCGTGGACCATCAGCAGCGGTTGAACAGCTCGACCATGAGGAACATAGGGTGGCTTCACATGGATAAAATGGATATCAATCCCTGCCACACATCCAAGACAAATAAATTAAAGCTCTGGGTCCATCAAAGCTTATGCTCTAGACTCTGAAGAAGGAGGGTGGCAAAATTGTAATTAGTATCTGTAGCAGAAGAAGATGATTACTCAATCAACCTATGGCAAGAAGATGCCAAATGAAAGGGGATGCCTGTATCTATGTCTCAGTTTTACATACAGACAGAGGTATTGACCCCAGCCTTAGATATTGGGGTCACAGGAGATTGAGCTTCCTCTCCTGAGAAACTGGTCTCACAGTATATGAGTAGAACTGCACTTAAATGAAAAGCATAACGAAGGTAATAATAATGCATGCAACAACATTACCAAATTACAAAATATGTGGGTGATTAAAAGAGAAATATGGAAAAGTAAGTGCATGATAGAAGTTTAACCTAGAGATCACTTACATAAAGTCTGACTAACCTCACCTGGCTAAACTGGGTGTGGTGAGAGATATTCTAGCCTCAGAGTCGGGCTAAATTTCACAATTTCCAAAGGTGACTTCAAGGCAATAGCTGAAGAAAACCTCATTGTTAGTTAGCTCAGATTCAGAGCCAGATGAAGCTCATCTGGAAGCAGACCTAATCTTATTGCTATTTTTAATGGACTTAATCTCTACAAGGTTATTAATAATAGAGCCTTGAGTGATACTTCACTCATATCACTAAGATGTTATGCATACTGTTATCTTAAATATTGTAATTTCTTAAATCTCCCCCTTCTCTCCGTGCATTTCAGAGTGAGACCTGCTCAAGCCACAGAGGTTCCCTCACCTTCAATAGTGGTGTGGAAGTGGGGGTATTTGTTCAGGACTTCCACTTGCTTGCGCCAGTCGAACTGGTTCCTCCAGTAAGACACCACCTCCTTCAAGTAGCTGGAGTTGAAGCCGTAGTGGAAGGCAGCCCCTTCCACATGTGGTGTGTAGCGGGCCTGATCCAGGCGCCGGTGCAGATCCTGTGGAAGGGAGCCCTTCTTGAGCAGTTTGCCAGCTGCCTGCATGTGTGTTATACCAGGACAGGCATGGACAGGCTCTCCTGGCTCCACCAGCTTTTGTGTTGCTCTCTGGGACACCACAAGCCCTCCTGAAGTAGTGCCGTACTCTGCATGACCTCCTGAATTGTTTATATGGGGAGTATATTTTTCTGCAGGTTATTAGTTCCCCTAGGGTACCCAGGAGTACTGGGTCCTAATTTTGACTTGGTGATAACTCACTTTAGGGTTTTTGGCACTAGCAGCTTGCCAGCACTGCCAGCTGGGAGAATAAGAAGCTCAGCCTGAGCTGCAGAATGCTAGTTGGCCAGATAATTAGGGATAGGCATGCAGAGACAGAACTGCTACAACTCAGTCAATACCCCATCCCTCTTCACCATTCTAGCCCTTCCCTCTGCAGAAGTCTGTCAGTCCTGCCCTCCTGGTGCCACTGCTGTCCCAACACCCTCCTGCCCCTCTCCACCATCCACAGACACACTGTCAAAGTCTGCTGCTCAAAGTGTGGCCTTTCTGCAGGAGCAGCCACAGGTTGCATGGAGGGTCTGTTGTCTCAGAAAGTCTTTATTGAATATTGGAATGGATCTGAGCTCAAACCCTGTTCATAAAGGGTGGTGAACCAGAGCATCATCTGATGGAGCTAAGTAGCTGCACTGGCATTGCTGTCACCCCAAGATATCACCTCGAAGCAGTGAGGTGGGTGATAGATTGCTTCCATATGCCTTGCAGCTTTCTGCCCCTCCTTACATCCCAGCCGCTGGTACCTCGATTTCTTTGTCAGATGTTTCAATCTTGAAGGGACGGATACTGTCATCTTCTCTCCCTTTTAGGGATCTTTCACCTGAGCCCCACCATCCATCGCCCATTTCAATAGTCTTGATCTTGTGTCTAGATCTCAGCCAGCAAATCAGGATCCCTCCAACCCCCAGGGCAGCCACAGGGACCAGGACTGCATTCTTCTGAGAATATTCAAAAGACCTAAGAAAGCATAAAATTGTGTTCAACAACAGAAGTGTCAAGGGCAAAGGGACTATGCTGAGGCTTGTGATCACACCAATTGGGACTGAGCAGGAACAAATGCCTACAAATCCCATGCAGTCAGCAGGGACTGGATGTTTTTATTATTTCTGAAGATCACAGGCAAGAATTGGGGCAGAGTTGTATTTACCAATGCTTCTTAGGGATCTCAAGTCCTTGCTGATCAGGACTTGCTGATTACAAGGCTTCCTTGTGCCTCTCGTTGTGAACCAGGGTGCCCAGGGGGACAAGGTTCAATAGCATATGGGCCAATCTATTTTGAGGCAGGTGCTGGAGTGAACTAGATAGTAGCAGCTGGACTTCTCCAGGGATAAAAACTGCATGGACAGAGTGGGCTGAGGAGCAGGCAGAGAGACAAAAGTCTTCAGCTGCTGAAGAGAGCTGGATACGCTAGATATGCTTCTCTTGCCAGTGCTTTGTACATAATGATCCCTTAGGGCAACACTGGCCCTCCACCATAGCTTTCCAGTAAGGCTTGTCTGCTGGTGCCCCTCTTTCTGTTGTAAACAGAAAGGTTCAGACTGGAGGTGTAGGAGCTAAGTTACTGGAGTTGGATTTCAGACATGCAGTCCTAAATGTAGAGTACCTTCCCTCCTCTCTGACCTGTGCTTCAAGTTCTTCAGTTTCCTTTGGGTATCAGTAGAGGCGTCTGGGGCTATTGCAGAGGGCTGCAAGGGGATTGTGAATGAAGATTTTGTTGTTGTCATCCAGAGAATGAAGGGACTATGCTGCACCCCAATTAGGGTGCTAATCAAAAGTGGAGGCCTCAACACAGAACAGCCGTTTCACTCACCTGATCCGGGACAAGACGCTCTTCCTACAAAAGGGGGAAAAAAGAAGGATCCTTATAGTCTGATAGTGTTTTCTGATACCAGCCCTTGGGGATGGTGCAAAGAGTGTCACCTGCCAGCACATTTATTACCCAGCCACGCAATCACAAGCTGTTTAGCCACCTGGCAATATCTGCCATTATTTTTCCTACTTTTTGGATAGGGTGGAAAGAGAAGGGCTCAGAAAACACTGTCTCTGCACAAAGAGACAGTGTTCCTAGGCTGTGTTTTAGCTAGATAATTTGTTGCCATAATAGTTCCTCCTTTAGCATAATTTAGATAAAAGGCACTAAACAACTGGGTAGGTGTCCTTGCAGTGTTTCATCCTGTGAGCAGCTGTGTTACTTCAGCCAAGAGAGCAGTTTATTTTGATTGCTGTGTAGCAACAGGTGCACAGCCTTGGCAGGAGACCTCCAAACTCACGGGTTACTCTGCTGCCAGCCATGTAGTATTCAACATGCTGCAGGGCTGGCATGAGGAGAGGCTTGTAGGACTCTTTCCTGTTCAGAGTTCAATGAGCTGCTTTACCTTTGTCACTTCTAGATACTCCTGACTAGATATCAACCTTTTAGTTCTCCTGCAAGAAAAAGAAGGTATCCTCCTTGGTTCTCTTTAAGCCTAGTAGATTCTGGTACAAAAGCACAATCTAAATTCTAGCAAAATTAGATACAATAAGAGAAAGTCTTGTTACTCTGCCTTGTGGAAGGCAGCTAGATTAGGGAGTTATTTGGTGTCATAATTGCAATACCTTGAGAAAACAAAACAAAAAAGAAAAAGCCGTGAAAATCCATGAAAAACCAAGTGCATTGGGTATTTTCTTTTCACCTAGTATCATTTCTCTCTGCTGTTTGGGATGCAGAATCTGGTGCCTTTACTGGATATCCCAGTAGTCTCCAAGGCAATCTGGTAACAATCTCTGAGACAGTTTATGTGTGATTTTTAGGGACATAACTCCTTAAGTTGCTCCCGGACAAGGAAGAACAGGGTTCCTGAGAACAAATAGCTTATGCAACAGGTAGTAATATCCCCCTGTACTTACATCCTGGAGCTTAGTGAGCAGAGGCATGAAAGCAGTTATGGCAATAGCATAAACTCTGCACTGCTAACCAAGCAAGCATGTCCCAGAAGCAGGTCTCGGAGTGACATAAAACAAGGCTCAGTCTATCAAAACCTTTTCTGCACTCATGCTCAGGAAAACTCTGCTGCATGTTCCCACTCTCCTATGGTCTGATGATCCTCCTGGGGCTTTCTCCCACCCCCAATCCCAGGGAGCCCAGTTTGGAGTCCCTCCTCCCCGTGTCGAGGAGTTCTTACCAGGCATTTGGAAGAATCTCCTGCCACATGTCTGCTTGTCTTTGCCTGGACGCTGCTCCAAGTGACACAGTCCAAGTTTCTCCTCTGCTGGCTTTCACTTCCGCAGTGACGCTGTCTCAGGGACAATCCTATATCATCCATCAGTGCCACCTATTGCTTAAGTACGCAGTTGCAGACTGAGTTCAACAGAGGCAAATGCAAAGTCTTGCGTGGGGCGGGAACAGCCCTGTGAATCAGCACAGAGCAGATACCAAATGCACAGAGAGCAACCCTGTGGAGGCTGGCCTGAGGTCCTCAGCTCAGGCTGTGTCAACGCTGTGTCCTTCCAGCAAAGGCCAGCTGAATACAGGGCTGCATAGCAGGAATGTTAGCCAGCAGGCTGAGGGAAGGGATTCTTCATTCTCTTCAGCACTTGTGAGACCACATCTGGACTGCCATGTCCAGTTCGGGTCTTGCTGGTAGAAGAAAGACTGGAGTGAGCCCACCCTTGGAGGTGTAGGGCCACAAAGCTGCTGCAGGGTTGGAGCATGTAGGGTATGAGGAGAGGCAAAGAGACTTGTTCAGCCTAGAGAGGGAAGGGTAAAGGGTTCAGTCTTATTGCCATCCACAGCTAACTAGTGGTGAGTGTAGGAAAAATGGACCCAGAATTGTCCTGGAGTAGCAGCAGTTGAATAAAAAAAGGCAATGGACACAAATTGCAACAAGGAAAATTTGGATAAGATATGACAACAAACTACTTGAATGTATTCAGACACTGGAACAGGGGGCCAGAGAGGATGTGGGATCTCCATTCTTGGAGGCATTCAAAATTTATCAGAAACAGGGCACTGAGCAACCCGACGTAGCTGAAGCTGCTCGGAGCAGGTATTGGGATGAGCTCACCTCCAAGTGTCCCTTGCAACCTGTATATCACTTGGCTCTATTCCAGGTGCACCTGTGATTTGCAGCAGCCAAAACAAAAAGTTCAATTTTTCATTTTCCACAGAAATCAATGCTTTATTTTAGCTCAGGCAACTCGATTTATTTTCCCTCATGGCTGGTAAAACCTTACTGGATAAAGGCTTTTCCTTCCTAAATTGTTGCAGTGTCCTTGCTGTGTTTCACTTCAGGAATAACTGCATTTTACCATCAGAGGAAATGATTCCTATTTCTGTGCAATGCTCAGGGTGAAGTACCATCACCAGTGAGCTTTGTGATGATTAAGTCTCATGCTGCTGTGAGTTCGTATACAGCCACTGTGCCATTGAAAAGAGCCGTCAGGAAGAAAAGTTTGTAAATCCTTCATCTGGTTGAAGTTCAATTTATTTCTACACCATAGCTATTTCTGGTTATATCCATCTAGGATTACTGAGCTCTAAGGTTCTATTTCCCACACTAACTCAGCTCTCTTGAGGCTCCTTGGAAGGTGGTATCCCTGATTGTGGAAGGACTATAGTCAGAAGACTAGAGAATTGTCGGGGTTGACAGAGAACCTGTCAGCAGCCTGGCAATTAGTGATGAGGAATGTAAACAACTTTTAGGAAATATTTACTGTAATGCCAGATGGAACAAACCTAATGCAGCCCAGACCAAAGGTCACTAATCAAAATGTGTATAGTGTCACCAATAGCATGTCACAGCATGGACAGTGTCTT